CACATGATGTACCCGATTGGAACGCTGATGTTCACCGTGTTGAAGCTCTTGTCCTTGAGGAAGGCTCGCACACGATTCACATAATTCAGCAGGGAAGTTCTCCTCGGCGAAGACGCCCAACGTTTTGCCATCCTTGCATCTCTGGATCGCTTCCACCAGCTTTTCAAAATTGGCCTTGTCTTTGTCGTTCTTATCCCAAACCAGCAGCTTAACCGACGGAATGCCCTCCTTCTCGATCTGCTTCAAGAAGTAGATCTTTTCGCACAGCACCGTAATCGTATCGGTCAGTTCGTTTCCCAGCAGCCAGGTCTGCAGCGAGCAAGGATTTGCTGTAATGGTTTCCTCGTCTACGCCGACCCTCGTCAGAAAGCAATCCGCCTTCTGCAGTGAATCATCATGGGAAAACCAACCGGTGGAAACTAAAGATTTTAAATTGGCTCACTACTTGACTAGCCTATTGGTCCCAAGCAAACCGATTAACGTACCCCATTCTAGTCGAAATTCTGGTACTACACTATGTTTGTTTTGATTCGCCATGAAATTTTGACAGATAGAATGAGGGGTTCGCGGATTTTCTTATGTTTCGAGGGGTGCATCGATTAGCTCGGGACCGAAGAGAGTACCAGAGCTGAGCCAAAAAGTTGAGCACGTTTCTTCGAGACCTTCTGGTCTTAGAGTTACCTCTATGGGAAAACTCTGGTTCCTTCCAGTTGGCGTAGAGGCGTTTTATTCGTCGGTAGAAGGAATCGTTATCGAGCACGGTATTTGACATTTTCGGGGCCGTTGTGAATGCAAACCAAAACATTCAAGCTGTCAGAAATACCGGGTTGCCAAATTTACCATAATATTCGTATTTTACAAATAATCTCACCTTGCTCTATGACTGCCCTAATAAAAAAAACCATAAAAGAACGATAACCCAAATCATTGAACTATTCCACAAATGGTTTGGATGATACCCAGAACACGTCGTTAAGCAAATTAACCATACAATTTTTATTAGGGTGGCACTGCCGGCACGATCGACACACCTGCGGCACACTGAGAAAAATATTGACCCAAGATTGGTGTACGGAGTGACCTACCACAGGAGTAAGTCACTCAGCACATTGTGCCGATATTAGATTCGGCACAGCTTGGGTACATCCATCGGCACACCTTCGGCACAATCTCGTAGGCATTGGATTGTTGTAAATAAAATGAGAGCACACAAATGCTGGACAACTGTCATTGAAGTTGTTCACAACATTACGTGCTGTTTGACAGACTGAGGAACTCAGACCAGCAGTTCACTTGTAAATCTAATTACCAAATGATTTATACCCTTAATTCAAATAATGTTGCAACTCATACAACACAGACTACAGCAGACTATTCATCATCCTCTACAGTCGGTCTTCAACAATGTTACCCACCGGTTCCAACACTTTCCGATCGCTATATTAGACCGTTGTTTTTCACATCACGAACGGCTAGGTTTCTGATCTGCCTTTGAGGGCATTATAAAACCCGAAAACACAGGATTTTTATTATCCTATGAACACAAAACTCCTAAATTTTGCACACCCGCCACTTCCCGCGTCATTTTCAATCCGGTTTATCCTTGCGATTTCAAACCAAAACATTCAAGGTAGCAGAAATACCGGTTTGCCGGGATGGATATCTTACAAACAATCGCAGCTTGCTCTATAACTGGCAGAATCGGCACACCTGCGGCACACTTGAGGCACACTGAAAAAAAATATGACCCAATACTGGTGTGCGGAGTGACCTACCCCTTGACAAATACCCATATTGATGGGTATTTGAAAATATTTCCTACAATTTCTTGAACCGGAGACCACCATCCTGACTTTAAAAATGGCGTCGCTTATCTATTTCCAATCTATAGACGTCACCTCGATTTCAAAAATACCCATATTGATGGGTTGGCATCAGTATTTCCCACTTTTTCTCGGAAATTGGAAGCCGCCACCATAGATTTAAAAATTTCGTCGGATATCGATTTCCACCACCGATTTCCAAAATACCAATATTTCAATCTGCCCGAGAGTGATAAATTTGACATCCACGTGCACAGATCTATACACATGTGCTTAAATTAACCGAGTGAACATTCAACAAAAGTCAGAAAAACTGTGTGAATTTGGATCGAACAGCTTTGCTTCAATTAATTAATTAATTTAGCTTTATTTAGGAGGCTTTCAGCCTTAGGCTGGTTCGCCTCCAAATTTTGCTTCAATGCGAAAGTAAGTTCATTTGACAATGAAAGACGAAATGAAACCGAGTCAAACAAAACAAAAAGGATGAAAACTGATCACAAGTGGTTCTGTTGATGTTGAAGGGGATCTGTTCGAAGAGAAGACAGAATGACTTTCAATTAAAAGTAATCGTTGATAGCTTCGTCGTCGCTTGATGATTTTCGATTGAAAGTGACTTTGTTGGGCATGACCATCGATATCCGACGCCATTTTGAAATCGAAGATGGCGGCTTCCGATTTACGAAAAAGTGGAAATACAGTCAAATACACATCAATATTGGTATTTTTGTAATCGGTATTGCAATGATATGCGACGCCATTTTGAAATCCATGATGGCGGCTTCCAATTTCAGATTAAGTAGGAAATACTGTCAAATACCCATCAATCTAGGTATTTTTGGAATGGGGATGGCGTCTAGAAGCCGGAAATCGATATCCGACGCCATTTTGAAATCCATGATGGTGGCTTGCGGTATGAGAAAAAGTTGTGAATTCTATCAAATACCCGTAAATTCTATACAAATACGGTTTTTTTTTAGAATCAGGGTAATGTCTAGAAGCCGGAAATCGATATCCGACGCCATTTTGTAATCAAAGACGGTGGCTTCCGATTTTCGGAAAAGTGTCAAATATTCTAAAATATGGTTATTTTTAGAATGGGGATGAGACGTAGATGCCGAAAATTGATGTTACGCCGTCTTTAAATCCAATATAGCGGTCGAATACCGATCAATGTGGGTTTTTTTTTTAATCAGGCTGACATCTAGAAGCCAGAAATCGATGTCCGACGCCATCGTGAAATTCAAGATGGAGGCTTCCGATTTCAGAAGAAGTGTCAAATAGCCTACAAATGGCATCGAATATCGATTTTCAGAATCTACGCATCGTCCTCGTTCCGAAAATACCCAGATCTTAGGGTATTTGATACTTTTTTGAAACCCGATGGCCACCATATTGGATTCCAAAATGGCATCGGGTATTGATTTTCGGCATCCACACGTTGTCTCCATTCCGACATAGCGTCGGATATCGATTTTCGGCATCTACGCGTTGTTCCTGTTCGGAAAGTAACCATATTGTAGGGTATTGGCCACTTTTTCTGAAACCCTATGGCCGCCATATTGGAGTCCAACATAGCATCGGGTATCGATTTTCCGCAGCCACGCGTTGTCTCCGTTCTGAAAACACCCATATCTTAGGGTATTTGACACGTTTTATGAAACTTGATGGCCACTATCTTGGATTCCAAAATGGCGTCGAATATCGATTTTCGGCATCTACGCGTCGTCCCCGTTCCGAAAATATCCATATCTCAGGGTTTGACACTTCATAAAACCAATGGTTGCATTCACAATGGGTGGTTGAATTTTTGATGGTAGTTACTGTTTTGGTATCCGAACTCGATGTCTGTGTTAGGGAGCCGCTATCGGTTCGTAAGCAACGATTTTTTTGAAAAATGTCGAAGGCACCATTTTTAGATCGAAGAAGGGTCAGTCTGATGGATTCGTCATTTAGCGTGGAGGCCAATGTAAGGGGACAAAACTCGACTAGTGCTTTGGTGTTATCTTGGATTACATAGGAAACGAGACCCAAAGCACAATTTAAAGGAACAAAACTGTCAAAATGGCCGCTTGTGTGTGTGTTTTTGCAATGTGATCAACCTCAAGCTGGAGCAGCCTTGGTTTGGTGTTTAGGCTGAATGATCGCCAAAAAAGCGATCGCAACTTGTTGCGATCTGTTCCGACCTCTCATTAAACAAAGCTTTGATCAAACTTATGGCCATCTAATTTTGAATCCTTTGAAACGACAAAAGTTCGTCGGTTTCGGCCAAGTTGTCCAGTGTTTATGATCGCACCGCTTGACACTTGCGCCTACATGCGTAAATTACCCTTACCTTTAAAAATCGGCATCGAAATAACCAATTAGATTCGCTTCCAATTGTTACACGTCCAATAAGATAGAACGGCACAGTAGAAGAAGAAGAAGAAGAAGAAGAAGCAAAAACCGACCCAGTCCAAAAACCGCGCACGCCAATTGAAGGACACGGCTGCACACCATTGCCCGTATAGGGGATAGCATTAGTGGGACAGCACATTATTACAAACTCCAATCGTCACATTTGCCTTTCCACCACCTGGCTTTTGTCCATGGGCTGAGCGCGTACCTACCGACATCCATCTACTGTAATTATCAAACGTTAGGTGGTTTAGGTTGTTCCTCTGTGTGTTGTTGCCGAATGTCCAAATTCCGAGAGGAGCCAAGCAGGCCAAAAAAAATGGTATGAAATATACCCCCAAAGACCTTCACATTCCGAAAAAATCGAACCACCAAAAACAGACGCACGACGCACTTGTCTTGCTCGGCGAGTGGCACCCCCCTATGGCTGATCAAATATGCAGCTAAGCAAGTAGGTACCTAACCTACTCCCTCCGAACTCAACACCGGGTGGAAACCTGACTCGGAAATTGACGGGTTGTGTTATTGACTCTCAAATTACTTTGCCCGCGGACCTTCGGAATCGGTCAACCTTTAGCTCGAATCATGGCGGGGCATATCATTTTTCATCAATGTTAGGACATTTTCCTCCGAATTGCGAGAAATGGAAGTGATCAATCAAGTTATCGGTTTCTCTCCTCCAACATAGTAGGCGTCTTCTCCCTTTGAGCAAACAGTAGCCTACTAGATCACCTTGAAACCATGTGTGCTAATATTCTTACACCTTTTCTTCTTTCCTTCCAGATGAGACAAAGCCATACCAAACGGCCGATAGCTCGTGGGATAGTTCTTTGTCGCGAACCACAATCGAACCGCTGCCTCCCACGGGGAATCAGCAGAAGCACCACCAACGGCAACTGAGTACCAACACCACCACCACCACCACCACCGCGGATGCCGTCGATTTCCATCCGCAGTTGATCCCATACCCGTCGGAACGTAGCAACAAACTCGATTACAAACCGTCGACCCGGACGGTCAGCTCCGAGGACAGTTGCTACTCGGAGGATCGGTACATTTCCTCGGACGAGGACGACGACGACGACGAAGACGAGGAGGACGAAATCGATCTAGACGAGAACGACATCCGAGAGGAGTACCTTCGTCGCGGGAAACAACGCAATCGCCGTAACAACCTTCATCAGGAACAACCACCAAAGAACTCAACGCCAAAGGAACCAGCCGGACTCGAGGAACAGCAACAGTCCGTCATCGGAGGAGGAGGCGATCGAAGGCGCAGCATCACCCAACTGCAGAATACTCTCAACAAGGCCAAGGCTCATCTTTCGTTCGATAAATGGAAAAGTCACCACGGCGGTGGTGGCAGCAGCAGCAGCAGCAACAGTGTGTCCCTTCCGTTGCATCAGCAGGTGGCCGCTGCTGGTGGAGGCGCTGGCGGTAATGTCCACCTGATTGCCGATCTCGTCAACAACAACAGCAGCAGCAGCAGCAACCATAGCAACAATCGCGGCTCGGTGCACGGTAAGTTTATTGAGACAGAGCAATCACAGGGGCGTAGCTAGGTAGAAGGAAGTTTTTGAGGAGAATCTCTAGCGAGTTTTGAGAAACATTGAAAGCTAATTCTGATGACAGTTCTAAGCATAATTTTTATTAGAATTCTGAGGTGAATTCCGAGGGAATTTGTGGAAAATTCTAAGCAGGGTGTGGAAATTAGGCCGGAAATCTTCATGAAATTTTATTCAACCTGGAAAAACCTGGAAATCTCGGAGAATTTCATCATTCCTCGGAGAAATTTTTAATTCTCTTAACAAGAAAATTTTGTCAGATTTGAGCAGTTCCACGCCAAATGACGAATCGAAAAAACTCAACCTGCTCCGATTTGCATGAAACTTTGCATACCTGTGTGTGGCAATCGTTTGCATTTTTTAAAAAATTCGACCATTTCGGAAAAGTTGACCGACTCCAGGAGACCCCGATAGCAACAATCATATCAAATCCTTCTCTCTTCCTTCCCCAGCATCTGCAATGTCAGCCACGGCGGCGTCCGCTACATCCTCACCCGTTCCACCGGCGGGCATGAGTCCCGGATCGGCTTCCCTAGCGACGGCAGCGACCGCCTCGCCCAGTTCTACCAACTCCTCACCTTCCATCTCGTCGGAACCCTTCTCACGACTATCGCGCTGGTTCTCGATACGTCGTGGCTCCATGAACCAGTACGATGTGAAAGGCCACAATTCGACGGCGACGACGACGACGACGCATTCCTCTTCTGCTGGCGGAAAGGAAAACCGTCGCAACAGCATCGACCATGTCGATTCGACGGGGTCACTGTTTGGAGCTAAGTTCGATGGCGGGAAGCTGGCGATGAACAAGGTACTCGAAGCGGACGAAGATCCCTTCCAGTTGGCGCTGGACAGCTTCGCAATGACCCGAGGTGCTGGCACGGAACCGAAAACTGCCGAAAGAAGACACATCCCAGTAGCACTGCCACCGGCGCCATCCGGACTGAACCAGCAAGAGCTCAAACGGAGACACATCGTAGCGGCCATCATCCACAGTGAAAACTCCTACGTGTCTTCGTTGCAACGATTGGTTAATGTAAGTCATTCTCTGCTAAATTCATTGAGTCAGTCGCTTAATTCTTTTCATTTCCCCACGCAGGAGTACAAACGGCCCCTCGAAGAAAGCAACCCACCCGTTCTGAACCCGTCGAAAACTGCCATACTTTTCCATCGTCTGCCGGAGATCCTTCAACTGCACACCCTCTTCCGAATATCCCTGGCCGACTACATCCAAAGTTGGGACACGGAGGAGAAGATCGGCGACGTTTTCGTTGCCACCTTCAGCAAATCCCTGGTCCTGGACGTCTACAGCGGTTTCATCAACAACTTCTCGATCGCCATGGACCTAGCGCGGATGGAAGCGAAACGGAAATCTGCCCTGTCGGACTTTTTCAAAGTCAAACAAATCTCCGCCCACGATCGGTTGTCCTTTTTCGGGCTGATGGTTAAGCCGGTCCAGCGGTTTCCCCAGTTCATCCTCTTCCTGCAAGATCTGCTCAAATATACCCCGCAAGGGCATCACGACCGGATGTCCCTGCAGCTTGCGCTGACCCAGCTCGAATCCCTGGCGGAAATGCTGAACGAGCGCAAGCGGGAAGCCGAACAATTCCAAGCCTTCAAAGAAATGCTGGAGAACATCAGCGGCACGTTCAACATCCGATCGCTAGTCTCCGGAGGAACGTCCGACAATACCATCAACAGCACAACCACTCGCTACTTGCTGCGGGAGGACAACGTGACCCAGTTGGAGTTCAACCAATCCGGATCCGTGGTCAAGAGCAAGAAGCGACGGTTGCTGCTGCTGAACGACAAGGTGCTGTGCGTTTCGGTTGCCCCCAAGCAGTCGCACGAGTTTGGATCGTCGGAAAAGCTGACTTTCAAGTGGATGCATCCGGTGCAGGACGTGGAGATTGTCGATAACAACCAGTCGATTACGCTCTCGAGGATACTGACGGCAGGTAAGTCATTGGAAAATCAAACGCTTGAATCTGCAGATGCTAACCAACCGAACTCGCCGTAGGAATGAAACGTGGCAACAGTCTCAAGTCCAACTCCAGTTTCGATTCACCCTACCTGGCGCCGGGGACGCTTCCGGGGGGAATGAACGCCATGAACAACACCAGCTGTTCCACCATGAACAGTTCGTTCGGTGGCGGAACCCTCCCGGGCACGGCCGGCAGCAGCGACGCGGACAATCTGTGCAACGAGATGAACGACCTGATGCACGACTACGAGGTCATGTCGAGGATCAACGATCTGGTCGGGTCGCTCAAGGGGTCCTACAAGGAGATCAACCTAGGCGTCACCAAGTCGATCCTGGCGGATATTCAAGCGTCAATACAAGTACGGCGTGATTTTTTTTTCTCTCTGTGAAAAGCTTACTAAAATGATATTTCTTCCGCAGAAAAAGGACGAAGAAATTCTCTGGGTGGACTCGTGTTGCCTGCAGTTGGTGCTGAAGAATGCCGCCAAGGGTGGCAAGGAGGACATCACCTATACATTCCAAATCGAGAACCCCGTGGTCAAGAAGGACTGGATCACGGAACTGCGGCTGGCGCAGCTGGCCCTGGATCCGAACAATTCGCCCGCCTGGCAGATGGGTGCCGAACATGAGCAACGATACTCCCTGGCCAAGATGCCACTGTTCGTCAAGGCCTATCCGGCGTTCAAGTCGCAGCATCAAACCGAGGTTAGTGAGGTGCATGGTTGCTTTTTTTTTATTTGGGATCCCATTTCGTATTAACATTCTTCCTAATTCATCCATCTTTCCGGCGCCGCCTGATTGTTCTTCGCAGTCAGGAGGCTGCGTCAGCATTATTTTTTGAACATAGATTCCCTCGACTACCTTCATCACTTCCTCTGTTTCTTTGTTGTTGGTGTCCGACGATGTATTTGCAGCCACCACACTAGTTCTATTCTTCGTTCTGTTGTTACCGAGCGTTCTTGCATATGAAACGTTTGTTTTTAAATACGTTGTAGCATATGTTCCACTTCTGAACTGTTACCTCCACTGCCTTCTCATCGAGAGGGTTGTTCCCTTCTTTTAGCTGTACCTGTTTCGATACTACATTTCACAAATTCTCATTACTAACTATAAAGGCCTGTATAGAGATCGAAGGAAAGTGAAAATCTCATTTAAAATACTCGATTTTTCACCAGCGTGAACGATGTAATTGACAAACATTTCACTTCACTTGGAACTGTTAACAGATACGATCCAAACGGTGAATGAGAACGACCCAAATTTGAGTTAAGTTAACTCATAAGTCACATAAAGTGCAGGAACCCAGCGATGAGTAAATTTGCCAAACTTTCCGGATATGAGAAAAGCAAAGTTCTACTCCTACTACTACTCAGTCCATTGGAGCTACTCCTAGACTGAGAAGAATTTTCGTCAATTTTCCTCATTTTCCGGGAGCTTTGTTAGGTTTTCTACAGAAAAACCATGCGGCAAATTTACTCATAGCTGAGTTCCTGCACTTTTGGCGATTTTGAGTGAACTAAACTCAAATTTGGGTCGTTCTCATTCGCCGTGCAGTGAAATCGAGTTTTGTGGATCGCATCTTTTTCGCTTGCGTTTACTTTTTTCACGCATGCAGCTGCTCGTGTAAAGAACTGCAGCTAAGCGAAAAGTTGACGTTCCGAGAAGAGCGTATCTGTCAGATTTTTACTTTTCACTAAACTGATCGATTTCATTTCACGTGAACTGTGAATTGCGAAAACAGGAAAATTTGGAAAAAGTTTTCACAACGACTTTTTCACAACCTGTTTTGCTCGCGAAATTTCATGATTTCACTTCTCTAGGCTTCACCAACTTAAGGTGTTATTCACTGAATATTGACCAAACATTCAGTAAAATTCGCAAACGACAAGCAAAACACGTCAGTTTCTCAGCGCGGCCTACTTCGACCCCCCGATTGATCATTCTAGCCTTTCTCGCAAGGTTCGTCAAACTCGTTGACGAGGGACTAGACTAGAGAAGGTCCAGTATAATGTCGTTTTCGTTTTTGCGGTGTAGCTACACCGGTGCTACACCGCCGAACACCGAAATTTTTTAGGGTGAGGCTATCGGTTGCACCTTTGTTTACAAACAAATGATGATGAACTGTCAATGACTCGTGCTTATTGCTGCTTACACTACACCGGTGTAGTGTAGTAAAAACGAAAACGACATAAGAGAGGAGCGGATTCAAAACAAACTGCCTTGGCAACCTAGGCTCCTCTGTTATAGTAGACCCTCTCTAGACTAGACTAGTCCATTGGTCCATTGTAGAAGTCTTCGGGATTTGGTGTCAAACTTGTGTTTCAAATTGCTTATAGCGAATTAGTTTACTATCGAGGTTGGAACCTGTTCGAACCTCAACCTGAGATAGGTTTATAAAAACAAACGATCAAACTGACGTTTGTCACAAAACAAGCCGACTCAATCTTGATATCCGATCCAGGTAGCTTCTGAATAATAAACAAATTCGTTATTAGACTTATCCTGAATGTAGTTATGACAAATTATGAATTTTCAAACTGCTATGCGACAAGAAGCCTTATTTAGCGAGTCAAGAATTTCAACAACAGAATTAAGACCAGACTGGATGTAATTCAAGACTGCAGGGCTTTCAAAAACGATTTTAACCTGGGAAAACCCCATTTGATCCCCTGCCCCCATCCCAAAGCTCCCTAATCCGTCCAGGTGGTGCCGGTGCTACTAAACCCAAACACACTAGTGACCTGCTAGATCGAACCGATTCCACTTCTTTTCCCCTTAGGTCTGCTGCGGATGCTATTTCTCATCGAACCTGGCATCGTCCGGGGCGTATCGTTTGAAGCCATCGGCGCGGAAGCGCTCCAAGCACTCCAACACGCTGTGGATCTGCTCGACGGACAAGATCAACAGCCACGTGACGATCCTGTCGCACAACAGCGCCCAGCACCAGAGCAACGGAGGCTTCGGCGAGGTGGCGCGGTTCAGTCTGAACGAAACCATCGTCACCTGTATGGAGTACGTCAAGGAGGGTGGGTTGATTACCGGAGATGACACCGGGGCGGACTCCATCTGGATGGGTACGAACAACCATCGGGTGTTGATCTACTCGGCCAGCTATCCGATCAACGACGAGCAGCTGGTGAATCTTTCGCTGCCGGGAGTTCCTAGTCAGATACTGTACTTCAACGAGAGGGTCTACGTGGGGATGACCAACGGGAGCGTGTTGGTGTTTAGCCGGACGGAGGTGGGCATTTGGAGCCTGAATAGTCCGAAGATATTGGCGGTGCAGAGCGAACCCATCACCAGTCTGCTGGCGATCAATAGCAGCGTGTACTTCGCGGCCGGAAAGTTCGTCCACGTGATCAACGGAAGGACCAACGAGGTGGAGAAGAACTTCCACATCAAGCACACGAATTCGGCGAACGTCAGTGCGAACGTGAATTTGCTGGCGCATTCCGGAATCGGATTGTGGATTTCGCTGAAAAATTCCAGCATAATCTGCCTGTACCATACGGAGACGTTCAAGCACCTGCAGGACATCAACATCGCCTCGAACGTCCTGCGGGTGACGTCATCGCATCAGAATCCGTCGCGGGAATCCAACTCGTCGATTCAGGTGACGGCCCTGATGGCGGCCAAGGGTATGCTGTGGGTGGGAACGAACGTGGGAATCACGTTGACCATTCCGTTGCCACGGTTGGAAGGCGTTCCGATCGTCAGCGGTGGGGTGAACATTTCCTACCATGCTCATCTGGGGCCGGTGACGTTCCTGTTACCGTTGGTGACCAGGTCCTACCACCCGGTGAGTCATCAGACGCAAGGTGTGAAGATCGTTGAGGCAGCGGTGGCAGCGGAGGGAAAACAAGAAACGAAGGAAGATTCGCGAACGGCTGAAGCGACGGACAAGCAGGGACTGGAGAAGGAGAAGGAAACCACGGCATTGAAGGAGCAGATTTGCTCCAGTCCGGTGATTTTGAGGAGAAAGAAGCAACCTCCGATGGATTGCGGTCGAATGGCCAAAACTCTTCCGAGGAATCTCCGGACCAGTAGCGGAGCCTTCTCGCCATCGATCCATTCGACACTGTCCTCGTCTTCGCAGTATTCCGATCAGGGGTGCGACGTGTACGGTCTGTACGGGGATTTGATCTTCGTCAAGGAAGACCTGGAGAACCAAGAAGATCGGAACATTCTGGATCCAAGCTACGACTACCTTCGCCGAAGTGATCCGGACATTGCAGCCATACCGGCTAAGGTGTCTACCCTGGATCGACGGCTTCGGATGAAGGTCAGCCGACCACGGTCGCTGGACTTGTCCAACTGGTCCATGGAGTCGCGATCGTCCAGTGTCTATACCTCGTCCGGAAGTGACGAGAACGTGGGCGGTCGTAGCGGAGCTGGCAGTAAGAACGTCTCCCGGAACAGCTCTAGCGCTAGTCACAAAATGAACAACTCCGATCTGCATAACATCAACGAGAATGAGGTAGCTATGCATCTGAAACCGCCGGACTCGGTTCCGGTGGCCAAAGAATCGCTGACGGTGGAACTGGACAAGTTCTCCACTCCTGTCTCCTCCAACGCTACCACCACCAACACGACCAAACGGAAGAAGCTTCAATCGATGAATGGTGGAACCGGAGGTGCCTCGGGAGGGGACGCTTCCAATGGCGGCGCGAGTGCCGCCCGCCGGACCATCCTAACCCTGACGGGAGGCCGCGGATACGTCAACTGGAGACACATCTGGGAACGAACCGGCCCGATGGATGGAGGCAAATCGGCCACCAGCTCCCCGCAGAACCATCATCATCATCATCACCACCAACGGACCGGTTCCGTCACGTCCCTGGCCGGCCTGGGACACACCAACTCGACCGATGCTCACCTCGTCATCTGGGAGAAGAAGCTGTAAGGTTTTCTTTCTTCGTTTACGTTTTTTCTGATAGCTTTAAAGGAGATTACAGTTTTCTACACTTATTGGTGGTGTGCGTGCGGCCTTCGAGTGTACATATTCGGAACTTTAGGAAAGTAATCCCAGTGAACTGGCGACGTGCTAACTGCAAAAAAAAAATACCTGTTTATAGGGCAAATGTGATAAGACTATATTTCTCGTTGTACACATTTCGATTTACGCATTCTCACTTGTCACGGTAAGGCTAAAGTTAGATTTTTCCCCCCTTTCGCAATTGGTTAGAAAACAGAGAGATAGATGTATATTTATGTTTTTTTTTTTAATGAAGAAAATTGGCATACAACACAGAGCAGCAAACATTAGGGATTTGTTAGTTGCGTAGAACGAAAACGTATCAAAGAAGAACATGAATTCAACTGCGTTCTCCACTGTTTATTAAGTTCATGTTTCATACAATATTTTCGAACTCACACTCACACAAGGCTAACTCTTTTTTTTATTTCCTTTAGTGTATTCGTATTTATTGTTACTCACATCAAACAGTAGGCCATCGTTGTTACTCGAAAGATTTCCCTTCCAACTCACACCAGCAAAATAATAATAACAACAACAGTTAATTTCAACAACGAAGCGATCGTACTCTTCTACACACAAACATTCACTCACACACACAAACATACAGAAGTTAAACGTTCAATCTTTCAGTCAGGTAGTATCTATGGTTCTTAGGGGAAAACAAAAGTTGTGTTTAAAGTTTGCATTTAGTACAAAAAAAAAAGTTATGAATATTTACGTTGGTTTTTTACTTAAGGGATTTGTACAGAACTTTCTACACACAGACACACAAAGTCACACACGCCCGCAGCCAGTATAAGAGGTAAATATCGAATCCAACTGCAGGAAGTGAATTTTGAATCCGAATCGAACCTAGTGCGAGATAGTTAGAGAAAGAGAGAGACGGAGGATTTACTGTATAGGCAGAATTCTGTGAAGAGAAAATAAGGTTTCGTTAGTTTAGCTTACTAGTTATTATTATTGTTCTAAACTCTAGACACCCCCCCCCCATTCAGCTTTCCATCACTCTGTAACCTGCCTTGTTTCATTACGCCTGCAAAGGAAAAGAAAATAACACATTCTCACACATTCATCAATTTCTTGTACAATTTCTCCCTGTCTTCAAACTCGTTTCATTCCTTCTCTAAGATCTGATCATATTCTAAAGAACACAAAAAAAAAACCGAAAATGTTTACAACAATGTAATAATGAATCCAAAAAACAAACAAACAATCAAACAATCTCGATGGCAACAACAAAAAACCGTAACAAAACTCAAGTAAAAATAAAGGAACCTAGATGTTCATTATTTGTAAAAAGCAAAGATAAAAACAAACGAAACGCGCTCCCCGGAGGAGTTTTCTTCTTTATTGCACATATCACCAGCATCCAATCGCTCTTTTCAATCACCTGAATGCCTGCATCCTGTATTGCATTGCATGTGTGAATCAAACGTCAGAACGTTTTGTTCCATTCTATAGAGGCAATCATCATTGTCTTCTGCCCTGCCTGCATGCCTGAGGGGGAGTACGGGGTTGAGCATGACGACATTCCTGACCTGACGACCGGTGGCAAGCTTGTTTTATTGCATATCATACTGAAGTGGGCCTCTTGCATCGCGCGTTTGACAAGCTTGTGGTAGGTCACGGTAAAAAGTACTGATTGCACGCTAAGATCAGATCAGCCATCTATAGATTAAGTTTACCCAGATGGGGTGTAATGCGGACAAGCTAGGTAAATTTATTAACCCAAATATGGGTAATTCAAAATCAATTTTGCAAAAAAAACTAACCTATATATGGATCATACTTACCCATATTTTGGTTAAGAAATAAACCCAAATTTTGGTTTGCCGCTTTACGCCCAATCTACGGTAATCTCTTAGCGCATTATGGGTAAACTAATCTTACCGTGTAGTAACACCGCGGCGTGCCTTTGCACCAAATTCCACGCGGCGTTTACCTGCTGCAATCACGGTGCTCCTCAGACCGTTAATATCGGAACAGAACTACCATGAAAACTGAATACCGTGAAAGTGGGTTATTCTGTGGGATTTCGACGGACGCGACGAATAAAACGCGATAATTAATTTCTAACATCAACTGCGTATATTTATTCAACTTTCTTGTTATGGTGCTTGACAAAGCCTAACTCACTGCAACATGGTCGTATGCTTGTATTGGTGAATGCAGGGATTAATCCATGCTACGGCACCACCACAGTAGCCCCAACAATCAATACGAAACTATCGATTTGAAGTTGACTCACTACTTGACTAGCTTATTGGTCCCAAGCAAATCGATTAACTTACCCCATTCTAGTCGAAATTCTAATACTACGCAATGTTTGTTTTGATTCGCTATGAAAGTTTGACAGATAAAATGAGGGGTTCGTGGATATTCCTGTGTTTCGAGGGGTGCATCGATTAGCTTGGGACCGAATAGAGTACCAGAGCTGAGCCTAAAAGTTGAGCACGTTTCTTCGGGACCTTATTGTCTTAGAGTTACCTCTATGGTAGCCCCCTCCCAAGGGGTAATCAACTCTGCACACTGTGCCGAAACACATCACGGCACACGGTTAGGGCACATTTTGACAAGTATGACACAAAATATAATATGCTGTTGTTAAGGTTTCGCACTTTGCTGACAGTCGTTAATCTTCTAGACTAGACGATCGGATTCCGGATTAGAAGATAAACATATAGGTACTTTGCTCGGATCTCTCCTGCAGCCAGTACTTCGTCCAATTTCCTGCAAGAGTTGTCAAAGTTTGAGTTATAAATAAATACCAGCGCCAAGATCGTCACTTGCAACAGCAATAACTAGGTCACTCTCAGGGTCATCCACTTTAGCAACGAACACTTGCTTGGCGTTTCCGGTTATCGTTTCTAATATCGGTAATCACGGTTCACATGGGTCAATGCCACAGGGTGGCCAGATACATAGCGTCATACAAATAAGGCACCTTCCTCCCAGATGAGCGATCTACGGGCACCACTAGTGACTCTTTCTTCTTCTTCTTCGCATTTCAAGCTTATTGCATATCGCATATTAGCTTATTGCGTGCTCTCAACTTAGTGTTCTAGATGCACTTCCACAGTTATTATTATTACAAAAGTCATTAAAACTTCAGTGTTGCCAAACTCATGGAATACTTGATTGGCAGACTTCGGCGTGCAGAGTTGATTACCCCTTGGGTTGTGATTTGTTTCGTGTTTTGTTTATGTTTGACAGCTGCGGATGTTACTTCTTCTTATTTGTGAAATGTCGATGCATGCTAAGATTTCTGTGAATCAGCAATACCTTCAACGGAAGTATCGCAATATAACATCTAACCATCTCGAAGTACCTTTTTTCTAGCTAGCGAAGAAGATCGCAGAAACCGTGGTATCTCAGAATCATCACATTGATTGGCAGTCATTTCATTGTAGTCGATGTTTGACGGCATCGTTATAGCACAGACAAACAGACGTAACTCTTTGAAAAACTTGTTCTTGAAAACATAGTATCTCAAAACATATAACCTCAGTAACGACATCTATCTGGCTTCTCGCGGAAAACAAGCTTGCTCGCTAACTCGTAAACAATATTGCATAAAATTTCTATAGAATATATAGAAACGTCAAAGTGATCCGATGCCAGCGCTGCGGCGAGTAGTTCGCGGAACTGATAATATTCAAATCAACCGTTAAATGCATGAACGAAGATACACAATAAAGAGTTACGTCTGTTTGTCTGTGGTTATAGCATAGAGGTAATATGCCGGATGTCGTTGGTAAACTGCGATCTATACTGGAGATATCGTTCTTCATGGGGAAGACGCCAAGTTGAGTATTATCGAAGACTACAAATCAAGAAGACTGACAACTCTGCCAAAAATCAGGAGACAGTCACGGGAACGCCTCTTATGAGCAAAAGTGGAACCTGTGTATGATGGTGTGTTAATTCACGAGTGCATTCACACACATAGGTAGAAATAAACAGCTGTAAATCATTGGTTTTGTTATCATTGTCGTAAAAAGTGAAACGTGAAGTTTCTTTCTTTGCTTTAATTACTTTAAAATTCCAGCTGAAATTGAACAGATGCGTAATTAATTTTGTTTTTAAAATTAAAACTATGGCAATTATGCCATTCACAATGATGGTGGGACCTTCCTTGATTATTAATTTGCTATCTCAGAATTATCTTCCACTTTTCCAAAGCCCTTTGGTAATGCATATATGGGCATTCGAATGGTGCATTAGTAAAATGCATGCCCGTTCCGCACGGCTTTGGAACTTGGCCGCAGAATGAGGGGGGGGGGGGGGGGGGGTTAAGTTGTGACGCTCGGCAATTTGGCACAGTACTCGCTGACCATTTGGCTGACTGGCCAATCCGACACTGTTGTTATCATTCTCTGGAAGGGGTCGGTCGGAGAGGATCACTATCCGGTGGTTTCATGTTCTGACAACATCTAAAATGTGGAAATATATTCTTTATAAATACGTACCGTTTGAAATTGTAGTCCTTGAACCTTTCATTTTCATTTTCTCCAACATTAGATCCTGCTACGCCTTCCGTTGGATCGTGATCTTTTAGAATCCTTGAATTTTCAGCAGCTTCCCAATGACGGTAGTTCACTCAATGGTGGTGGAAGCTGCCAATTCCTTATAGTTGATTGCTTCCAACAGGAAAAATAAACAATTTTTCGGTTCCTCGTTCACAAGTAAAAGTTACTTTCACTGGGTATCGATCCGACTTTCAATCCTCTACTTGATCCACTATGGCAAGTTTTTCGGTTTGGAGTTGGAAAACTCTCAGCTTGCTGGGATTAGGATACAAATTGCCGTGGAATGTTGTAGAGCAGAACAAAAACAACAACGAGTACCGTGTTATGATTATTCGTTTCGGTGACATTAGGTCACACACACAGTCACTGTTTATGAGCAGTCTCACTAACACTTGTGCTTCAAAGTTCCACCTTTGATTGACAGAGGCGCTGTTATCAGTGACGTTTGAAATTTGTATGGGAGAAGAGAACAGTTACCAGTCTTCTTGATTTGTAGTCTTTGGTATGATGTTAAAGCGTTCGTTAACGGATTTCAACGGCACCGGTGGTGTAGTGGTAAGCGTGATTACCTCTCACCCCAGCAGGCCTGGGTTCAATCCCAGTCGGCGCCGCCGGGATGTTCTGAGGCATAACGTTAACGCAAAGGTTAACGGATTGTGATCCGTATAGATGATGAACTTGCGGCCTTCCACGATGTGACGGAAATACCTTACAGCCATTTTCATGGCTGTGAGCTCTCGACCGAATGTGGAGTACTTTTGTTGAGCTGCAGACAACTTTTCAGAGTAGAATCTTAGTGGTCTCCACGTACCGTGCACTAACTGTTGCAGCACTGCTCCAGCTGCCGTGTTCAAAGCGTCGATCATCAATCCAAAGGGCTTTGACGAATCCGGATAGTGGAGTAAAGTTGCATCCGATAGAGAAGTTTTGCAATTCGCGAAAGCTTGTTTCGCTCGTTCGGTCCACTGTAATTTTCGATTATCATTTTTCTTGTTTCCAGGTATGGCAGAGGGAGAATTCCGTCCGTTTTAACGTTGTAACCAAAAAATTCCACCTGTTGCAGAGCGAATTTACACTTCGAAGGATTGCAACACTATTTCGAACACATCAGGATTAGTCGAAGCAATACAAGTGTCATCGATGAATATGACAACGAAGTCCAAATCGTCGAATATTTGAAGCATGTAGCGTTGAAATGTTTGGCTGGCGTTACATAAATAATACGTTCTGCATCAAGAAGGGCTCAAATAACCCAAACGGAGTTATTACAAAAATCAATACGAAACTAACGATTTTAAATTGGCTCACTGCTTGACTAGCCTATTGGTCCCAAGCAAATCGATTAACGTACCCCATTTTAGTATAAATTCCAGTACTACACTATGTTTGTTTTGTTTCGCTATGAAAGTTTGACAGATAAAATGAGGGGTTCGTGGATTTTCTTCTGTTTCGAGGGGTGCATCGATTAGCTTGGGACTGAAGATAGTACCAGAGCTGATCCAAAAAGTTGAGCTCGTTTCTGCGGGACCTTCTGGTCTTAGAGTTACCTCCATGGCTAGACGCTGTCAATAAACTTTGGGAAATGTGTATCACTGCAACGCCTGTCATCTGCGAACAACTCGAGTGAAACCAAATTTCTCTGGTGGTCCATCAAATTTTCCATTGAAAATTTTAAGTTTAAATCATTTCTTTGCAGAAATAGGATTACATAATTTATTTGAATGGTCTATTATTTCAGGAAATTTAACATTTTCATGCAATTTAACGGAAAATAACTCACCAATGCCAATCTTCCCTCTCGCAATAAAACATCCATAACACACGACCGATGCGACTAACTCAAAATTGAGTAGGATTTCAGTCAAAATCGTAGAAAGTGGGATTACTCCTCTCAATTTTTGATGGTCGAAAAATCTCGCATTAGCGAATCAATCCACGAACATTTTTTTTCATCTCTTGCATCTAAATCCATCTACTCGCATCGCTTTCCACCTTTTTGCAGGAAATCATTTAAATCTTTCTATCTACTCTATGCAGGGCTGGAAAGCACCTTAGAGCGTTCCACACAATGAGCGGTACACTCCGTGCGGCGCAGGAAGCGAATATAATACAACAAGCGCTAATGTCTTCTTTGAATTCTTTGCAGACTTTGCTTACCACGACTGCATGCATAGGAGATGAAGAAGGGCATAATAAAGAAGAATGTTGTCTTTTTGCTGTGTTTCCCATTTGCAACCCTACACTGAGTGGCGCTCTTTGCGTCGGAGCCGCCGGAGCGATGGATACACTTCGAGCTTTTGTTAATTATGGGTGTGTGTCTGTCTTCTCTTCTCCACTGCTTTACACTTGCGCAGGGTGAAAAACAAGCCAACTTTGTGTTTGCTTGATTCTCACTTTGTATATTTCAGAAAATCAGTACATTGGGCGCATTGCGTGATCAGATGACAGCCCTGTCTGTATGTAGCAAATTTTTTCCAGCATCTTAGATAGAGTCGCCCCCCCCCCTCGGATTTGGTAAATTTGGTGTCGTCATATTTGAGCAGATGTTTTAAGAAAATAGAGGAAAATTTTACTCACTCAGTGAACTGTTGCTAACTTGAAAGCTCAACTAGATAGAAGGTAGCTGTTTTTGGCGAATTTATTCAGATGTATAAGACCTATACCTAGTGGATAGTGCACACTTTCGAAACAGCTGGGATTTATTTGAAGTTAACAAGCGATGCCTATAGATCCTATTCTCTCAGAAAGATTCGGATGACAACTACCACCTGAAGCCGATATGCACTTTCATTTATGTATTGGAGGTAAGATTTAGTGAAATTTGACGTATTCAGCTCCTGCTGGAAATGAAGGTAAAGTATCTCAAAATATTGAAAATTGTATTGCTTCTTCTAATCGTCCGTTTTTCTATTGCAGACCTTTACCTATGCAGCTGAACTGGGTGCCGAACTCTTAATTGAACATACATTTGAACTTTATCTAGTCAGTTTATGGAAATCTCTATCCTACCACCCAACCGGCTTAAAATGAATTTACACCGTTTATTAATGGACTGTATTTTTCTCTTTCGAAATAAACCAAAATCCACCACAAATAGGGCGTCTTCATCTTCAACATCATACAGTGGACCCCCGTCAAGTACCTCGGCTATTCGTATCCTCTGTGGGCGCACGCTTTCGGTTGGTTCACCGCCCTGTCCTCGATGTTGTGCATCCCCGGTTACATGATCTGGCTGTGGAGAAACACCCCCGGCGACCGAGCTAACGTAAGAGACCCGCTTTAATCACATTTCCTAACCGATATTATTTGATTGAGCCATTTTCCACCACCCACAGAAAATCCGACTGATCGTCAGAATCGATGAGAGCGTCGCCGAGCTGCGAGAAAAGATGCACTCCACCCACGAAAAGGGCATGGAGCTGTAAGGGCTCTCCGTGTTACCAACCCAAATATCCCGTTCTGCGATCCGACTAGGCTTAAGCAACATCCTCCAAACGACGACATGCGACGATGCGCGAGCGAATGAAAGTACAGAATCATCCTATGTTTAAAAACCAAAATCTAATATAACTAACAACTAACGGTTCCAGTGCCTTTTTTTTTCATTTCCCATATACACTGACTTCTTCTCATCCAGTTTCGGTCCATAGCGTAATGTGACGATTTAAGTATATGAATATAAATGAAGTATTTACTAATGGATTTAAAGTTAATATTGGAAGAGAGATTTAATTTATTTAGTAATTTTAATTTACTAACCAATAGAAGACAGTCACCCCCGGCTAAAGGAGGTGACGGAAAGAAGGGAAAACAATGCGCACGTACACATACACACACATACATTCAACCACCCAAACACAAACGCACTTGCATACATAAAGCTATACTATTATATACGATTAATGCACACGCACGGCGCGCTAGTTTGACTAAATATAACTACCATTCGATTGTAAATCGTTGTGTTAAAACCTAGGGCCAGTAAGACACATGCAAAAAACTACATATTAAATAGGATTCGATGGAAGCTGCTACTCAGATCCCTACCGCCCCCATCCCAACTACACACTTGCTGTGTTGGTTTTCGGTAGGCTTAATTGTTAAGATGCGTATTTAAGTGTGTAAAACAAAACCAAAAAGAAAAACGACAGTATGTAGCAGTTTCAGCTCCCTTTCAGAAACAAAAGAAACGCAAACATTTTGATTCCTTACTGAGCACGACACTGGACAAATACGGCGGACGAATTCCGAATTCCGAAGCTGTACATCAGAGAAAAGTAGACGAAAGTGCACGCAGAGAACGACGAAGCAGAGAAACTGGAACCCAATGTATTTAAAACAGTACTAATCAGTAACGAATAGAAAATGTGATTTGTAAGAAGCTTCCCCGTTTTGGGGCTTCGTTTGTTATACCATCCGAACTGTCCTGCGGACTTATGTCTATCAGAATGTATGTGAATCGTCATGATGTGCGGCGGTTTTTGCAACAGTCTCGATACACATAGGGTAAGGTGGGGCAAGATGGGTCACCTAATTGATTTTTTTTATTGTAAACTTCAACAGTAGTCCTTATACTGCACAGTGGTTCAAAACCCCCCAAAACGTGCGTTTTCTATTTTTCGGTATGAAAACGACATTTTAGAAGGATGGTGTCTTCAGAAGAGTTGCAGAGTTTTCAAAGGGCTAACGTTTGGTGCTGAGATATTGCTGATCTATCCACCTAGAAGGGCAGGGCAAAATTAAAATTTTACAACTCCATTTTAGATTTTAAGATAAAGATCGTCTAACACAATAAACTGAACGGTACGAATTCCCAGCACAAACAAACTGAAACTAAGCAGCACGTGGTTGAACAAAAACTGTAATTTATTTTTGTCTAGCTCTCACATAAACTCGGTAAACATTGTGTATTATAAAGATGTGAATGTGTTAGTAGGATGGCAAACTGAAGACCAATGGTAAAACCGGAATGCTGTATGAGGAAAATACGCTCCTCTTTGAATGAGGATAAATCAATAGAAGAACATTACAGAACAAGATGAAACCTATGGTCACAGACAAACAGACATAACACTGACAATTTGTTCATCGAACACGCATTTAACGGTCAATTTAAATGTTTTTAGTTGGTAGTACCGCCGCCTGTGGCGCGCATAGTCAATAACCCTTGCGTTTGACGTTTACACACTACCGCCATCTGTTCAGCGTACTACCCATCACAGTATACTCAACAGATGGCGATAGTGTTTTCCTGACGATGTTTAATGTTAAACAGCATTCAATGTGTTATGTCTGTTTGTCTGTGCTATGGTGTTTTGTAGTTTGAAAGCGTATCTTTCGAATGGAAACTGTTTGGTTTGCCGGTTTTTATGGTGTGTCGACGTGAAAAATGCGTATTTTGGCTATAATATTGTTTATAACTTTGACAGTTATGGTCAGAGAGGTAAAGTGTCTTCGGATCAAATGTGTGTTTTGTGATTGCAAATAACTTTCTAGAACAAACCTTGTTGATAAAATCGCGTCCAAAAAAGTTATTTAAAAAAAAACCGTTTTTGGGGGGTCATTTAAAGAAAACGTTCGTTAACTCGTTACGCAATCGTTTTAAGAAGTTAGTGTCTTCAGCAAAGTTGTTTCATTTGATATAATCTACAACTTTGCTGAAGACACCAACATGATTTGAGCAAGTTTGTAAAATTTTAATTTTGCCCTGCCCTTCTAGGTGGATAGATCAGCAATATCTCAGCACAAAACGATAGCCCTTTGAAAACTCTGCAACTCTTCTGAAGACACCATCCTTCTAAAATGTCGTTTTCATACCGAAAAATAAAAAACGCACGTTTTGGGGGGTTTTGAACCACTGTGTACTGGGTTGAAAAAGCAAACCATCATTATTATTATTTATATTATTATAGTCACTTTAACACTCTTGGGTCATTCGTGACTTGTCCGGGGGTGAGATTTGAACTCGTGACTTTGGCGTGAGAGGTATGGATGTTAACCACTACGCCGGGGTCGCCCCCACAAACCATCATTATGATTGCATTATACCTGTTGATATTGAAGAATAAATAAATTAGCTGACTCATCTTTCCCCCCATCTTACCCTACTACAGTTGGCGCATTTTGGTGCGGATGCAGCGAAAACTGTTTTTTAGCACTAATTACTGAAAACTGTCACTTTTCGACACTGTTTGAATAACATAATGACCTACGCCAGAAGAGACAACCAATGGTGGTTTAAAAAAGACACTGCTAACACATTTGAATAAGGATCTACTATGAAATGCTGGGCTTACTTGTGTTGCTAAATCATCGGGTGACTGGGGGTGCTTTGTGGATTGTTATTGTCGTTGCCTCGGACCGACTTCTTCGCCAAAATCGGTTCCTCTCATGATGGGGCCCTCATCACTGAATCCGGAGAAGTCTGAAGGAACTAGGTCTTCTGTTTCACTATCCCAGTCAGAGTCGTAGCTAGTCTCAAATTCCGACTCCACCATGCTGCTATACAGATTTTTAGAGGTTTGTTTGAACTTGCTCCTTTCTTCTGCTCTATCCTGCCATACTTAAATGGGAATTTTGCTCCTCTCCACATCCTGTCGAATACAGGTTTTCCAGGTGTATGTCGGTCTTCCAATTTTCTTGAGTTCTAATATTCTGTACTTGAGTACCGTTTTCAAAATTCCGCCTGGATCGCTCCTAAGGATGTGCCCGTAGAAGTCGACCCTTGATATTCTTATCTTGTTGTTTATCGTATCGATTATCGTTCCTGATAATGTGTTATGATAGTTCTGTTTTTATGAAAATAAAATTAGGTTCTATCCCTCTATATCCCTCTGGCTATATGTTCATCCAGCGTGCAGACAGTCGTTGCCTTCCTCAAAACTTCATCATTTTGATCTAAAGAAAAGACACTCGCCAGTCGATCAAGCCAAATTCAAAGGTAAAGACTGGAACGCGCAAAATTTGGTCGACAAAAAAATCGTTTCTTTCAGTCAAAATTCGTATCACAAAAATCTTTTTATTTTTTTTTTGGTAGTTCAATTCATATATTTAAAGGAAAAAATGTTCGTTTATTATTTTGGTTTGCCAAATTCGAACTTCCGTGCTTTCCGCTTAACCCCTTCCATTAAATTTTGCACAGTGGTCTCATCGTCCTTATTCGCCGCCGAATGCCAGTTAGATTTAAACTGCTGCTCGTTTTTCATGGATTTATTAGTTTTTTTTTAGATTCCGTTTGACCAAGGCCCAATACCGTTCGATAGGGCGGAGTTCTGGGCTGTTGTTTTGAAAATTTCAGTCACCTTCCTTTTCCTGATGCGGTGTAAAACTCCTGTCCCGGAAGGTGCTTGAAATCCGCCTTCACATAAATTTCGTCGTCCATGACGACACAGTCGAACTGTCGAATCTGCTCACAAATTCGTATACAGCTATCGGAACCGCTGCTTTGTTGACGTATTTTGTTTGTAATCTCGGTTCGCCACCTTCACCTTCTTAAACGTCGACAACCCGATTCGTTTCTTGGCCCACTGCACAGTAGTATTGGAGACATTGAGCTTGCCAGCGACGTCCCGGATGAAGGGGTTAGGATTCCGCTTATATTTCACCGCCACCTTCTTCGTCGTCGCTGCCACGTCCGGATTACGGTTGCCTCGCTTCCAGGCTTCCTCGAACACTTTTAAAACGTTTGTCACGGTCGATTTGGCCACATCCAGCAATTTTGCCAACTTGGCGTGTGAGAACGTCGGATTCTCTTGCTGCGCAAGCAAAATTTTGACACGCTGCTCCTCTTGCTTGGACGTCATTTTGAAAACTGGAGAGCAAACGGTGAAAACACATCATAGCAACCATTGTATATACACTCAACTTCCAAATGCAGCATTTCAGGTTTTTTATGCATTTTTAACAGAAATACACCAATTTGAAGTTGACCAATTTTTGCGCGTTCCAGAATTTAGTACCTGTGTGATGTCGCATTCCAAAAGTTTGAGCCAAATAAAAAAAAATGCGGCCATTAGACTCAATTATTTAGAAAAAACAATTCTTTAATTTTGGCTAGTTAAATTCCGACAAACTTTTGGTTAGCTACATCACAACTAGCATCACTAGTGTGCATCTTTCAAAATGTAAAGATACAGACAAGTCCTGGAACCTGGTTCCAGCTAAACAATCCTCAAGGTTATGCCAATGCCCAGGGGACATAATGGCCTACTTTTCATAACTAAAACAACAGTGCCAGCATCCAGTGCTGATTTTTTCAACACTCGTCGTAATTATTCAATTCGGCAAGCCTCGTCGGATACACTACGACTCGTGTTGAAAAAATCTTCTTTTTGCAACTTGTTGCATAAATAGCTATTCTAAACTGAAATTCAGAAACCGAGCGATCATCTGCTCCGAACATAGATACTGCAAATTTATCTCTCCATTCTCACAAAGACCTCGTACAAACATCTCCTTTGTTTCAATGTGTTTCGACCGCTTGTAGAACCGCTCTGACCGACTGTTATCTTCGCACAAAACCGTAGGCTGCTTCCGCTTCAATCCTAGATCAGCGAGTAGTCTTCGTAGCCACATTACTTCTTGTGTAGCTTCACTGAGAGTGATGTACTCTGATTCTATTGATGAGAGTGCCACGGAATTTTGTTGCTTGCTACCACCTATGGTGAATACAAATCCGGATGTTGACTTCCTTGTTTGGTGATCGGTAGACCAATCCGCATCGGAATAACCCAACAATTCTGGTGATGATCTGCTGAACTGCAGTTTCCAATCCACAGTACCACGCAGATATCTGACAATACGTTTTGCGGCCGTCCAGTCGGCCTCTGTTGGCTGAGATAATTTCCGTGCAAGAATCGATGTAGCTACAGCTGATTCCTTCTTGTACATGTTCGAGCCAATAACCACATCATAAACGTAGAGTACTATGTAGACTCGTCTACTGTCGACGTCTCGAACGTCAACCATGGATCTCCTTCAATACTTCGTTCATCCTCTGGTTCTAGCAACGTGCGGATTACCGTAGTCCACAAATGCTTTTGAGTAGTCGACAACCTAGCCCATCTTTGCCCGGTTCTGCGAATCCCGGAGGTTGCCTCATGTAGACCTCTTCATCTAGACTACCGTTAAGGTAGGCAATCTTTATATAAACTTGCTTCAGAATCATCTTCTTGCTACTCACTACACTGCCAAAAGTGTTCCGAAAGTCGCTTGCGTTGCAACTGGCTCATACACCTCTTCGTTGACTGCACCCTTGTGCGATCAATCGCGCTTTATATTTAATCGGTTCACCGCTGTCGTTCCGCTTAATTTTATAGACCCAACGGCTGCCAACTACTTTCTTTCCCTCCGGAAGATAGACAAGGTTCCAAATTTTCAGAT